TTTTACATAATAAGTATTCAATACGGATATTCTAATAAAGTAAGATTTTTAAATTCGCCTGCTATATTATATTTATCTCTTTTATAATATACATATGYATGTATGTATGCGTGTAGATTAAGCCGAGAAAACAATAGTACCTTCTCACAAAATCTGCTAGACTATAAATTCAGTATATATAGGATGGGCGCTCGAAGCCTGCAATATCTCATCACTATTAAGAAAGCTTATCTATATATATATGTACATATGTGTATGTAYTASTGAATCCGGCCACGCCTTGCTGTGTTATACATTTTATACTACTATTAATGTCATAAACTATTCAATACAATGGAAATTTTATTTACGAGTAAAGGCAAAACAGTTTTTGTCGGTATAGGAATAGGGATTGTAGTTGAGATTTAATTTTGAATATGCTCATACAAATAAATTGTATTGGAAAAAATAACGAATTTAAGGCTGATTTCTCATTTTCTGGTTACCAGGCTTTCTGTCCAGTTGATACAGTTGTCCGCTTATAAGAGCTTTCACTGTATTTTTTATTTATGATTATTTTTCACCATCCCATCTTCGAATTTCGCTCGATCTGGATACAGTGTACTAATTTTTACTAAAATCGGTTCAGTAGTTTAGGAGTCCATTGCGGACAAACAACGTGACACGTGATTTTTTTATATAAACATATATGTATATACATATTTACATATGTACCACATACATCAAATGCTCCTAACAATAAAGTGTATCGCAATGAACTTCAGTAGAAAGTGGTAAATTATTAAATACTAGTTATCATGATAGGCCGGTGAAGTGTCTAGATACTTACAGAAAGCTGCAAAAAATTTATTGCTCATTTCATATATTTTTATATGCATATATTTATGAATATTGAAAACCTAAATCACAAATTCAAGTCCAAACCGCAACAACTCATTTATGTACATAATTCAGTATTGACATTTTTTAATTTTCTGTCTTTCTTATAACATTGTTAAAAAATATATGGGTGTATATTTAAAAAACTATATGTATTAAATTTTTAACATACAAATGTATCTATCCGAAATTAAATAACATGAAATTAATGCTTAAGAAGTATTTTTTATGTGAAAAAATCACCAATTACCATCTGATTACCCACTAAACTCATATACATATACATTAATCATATTTTCCGAAATTTGTTCAAAAGGTATTTGATTTAATATTATTTAATTTTTATTTCCTAAATATTTTAGAGGAAGTTTTTATTTCTTAACTATTGGCGTTTCACGTACATAAATACACAATAATATGATCATACAAATATTTATATTCTGTATGTACATACAGTATGGCGAAATTCACTCAACAAATCCGAATGTATTTCCTTTTGTTTACATAATAATTGTGCATTGAGCTAATTTTAAGTTAATTATGAAATTAAATTTGCAACTTCATGTTATTCTTTATATATTGCGCTATCTCGTTTTATTTACAAATATTTATTTAATATAATTTAATTTTGGCGCTTCATATATGCAGAATTAAAACTTATTAATTACGTCGATTTGGTGTTGCTAAAATTTGGTTAGTAAAATGAAAGTAGAGAACAAACTACGTCCCTGATTTATTGCAACAAGCACGGATATTTATAAAGTGTATAAATGACACTCATTTCGGCTCCAAGGTCTAGGTTACAGTTGAGACWACAGTGATAAATTAATATATCACCTTTCGTTTAATTGGGTCTAAACCATGCTGATGCGGTCGTTTGCAGGTTGTGGTAATAAATTTGGGTCTCTTTGGAATTGTGTGCTAGGGCCACCCGAAGCTGTCCCAGCACTAGGTGCTCCACCACTAGCTGCAGTTGRAGCACCACCCGATGCAGTACCGCCACCATGGTGACGAGATGTGCTGCGRTTCACGAAAATACGCACATTCTCGTCAGTGTAATCAACGATGCGACGTTTCTTCTTTCGCGTATACTGTTGTTGCTTTAGATAGATCTTTAGGATACCTTTTACTGCAATAAATGTTAAACCGCCTAGAAGAGTACGATGCAGGGTATCTTCAATGGATTCAAACAACAAACGTCCGACTATAGTCGATATAGTTGGTAAAATTAGGGCCCCACAAAATATTCGAGTTGCAGAGACTGGATCTGCCAACGTAGGCGTAGCCGGATTTTGCGCCGACTGTTCCTCCTCATCTTCACTGAAAACATAACCAAAAACAAGATATATAATACAATATAATATTATATATAATGATAAATTGTTTGTCTGAAAAATTTTGCACATCATATTCCCCAAAAATAATAAATTAAATGAAATTTCATTGAATAACTTCGCTTTCTTTTTAAGAAATTTTTGGCAAACATTTCATATCGATCATAGATCATTAGAGATAGACTGAGACATTACACTTCACATTTCATCACATTTAGTATCTTGTTGGTGTAGCTATATATTTACATAAATGTTATATTCTRTTAAGCAGCATACGGTAATATTTATTCATTTATTATTTTGAACTATGCCACTAGACCCATGACGCTTTTAATGAAAAAAAAAAATTGGATCAACTTTGTTTTTCTACTAAATAAGCAAATTTTAGATTCCTTTGACCACAATGTAATTCGGCTGCAATGGGTGTTTGCTGCTTTCGTCTAGGTGTTTCATTTTTAAAAACATAATTTTGAAAAAAGTTGCTGCCGTTTGAAAAAAAATACCCTTTGATTTCATGAATTTCATTATACACCTTTACTTTCCTAATATTTTTATGATTTATTTACTTTACCTCTATAAAATGCTTTCCTAATACAAATTGCTGCTAAATTATGAAACTATTTACTTACTTTTCTAATATTGGGAATATTTTTAGGTTAATTTGGAAAGGAAATATCTAACACTCCTATTTTTTTATCAAAAGGAGTTAGTTCTTGGAGACTAGCAAAGCTGAACCAGATTTTATTGTACACATATGCATATACATAATATAGTTTCAATTACTCACGGATAAGGAATAATGAAGTTCATCAGTGGGAATTTTCGTGCAACACTTCGACGGTTGCGGATCAATCTAATTACTGCGTCCTCCCAGCGAATCATACGTCCAAGAACTAGGCCAACTGGAATAGCAGGCAATCCAAGTAATAATATTAGTGGATCACCATTTTCCATTAAAGCCAATCCCTTTTTGTGCCCAACAATCTGTTGTATAAAATATAATATGTAGTATAAAAAATGTAGTATTCTATATCTTCATAACTACCTGTAGGAAGGTTACTGCTCCATAAGTTACCGCTGTCCAATACAATGAGCCGACAAAAATACCCGCAGCTAGGAAGGGGCTTAGGCGTTTAATTATATTATCGAAAGCTTCTAATAAGTTGGCGACTTTTCCCATTTGTGGAAAAACGATAATATATTCGGTTTGGCACTGTTGACAACTAACTGCACGCATCCCGTTACCCTTTTGTTTCTCGTCTACCCATCGATATAAACAACTTTGGTGTACCCATTTTGTAGTGCCACGACATTTACATGGTTGCACCCAAGGTGCTAGACGGTTATCTTCATCTGTTGCAAAACAAATCCAGCAACTCCTTTCACCTAATTCATCTCGAACTGTCTCACTTGTTATTGGCTCTATTCCTAAATCGTCACCCAGCAGTTTCCCTACAGAGGAAGTGGTAGCTYTTTCTTCGTCATTTAATGCCAACATTTCTGGCGTTTGAGGTTGTTGAGYCAACTTGGTTAGAGAAGTAGTGGACACATTTCGATCCACTTGATGAAAATCTGAAGGTAGGCCTGATTGAGTTTGAAAAGTATGCATCATGTTGGATCTTATTTCTTTATTTTCATTCGATGCTGRTCCAATAGCCGCTTCGGTTATATCCTGATTTAGGTCACCTTTTTTCATATTGGTATACAACTTCAAATGGGCGTGGACGTTTGTTATTTATATGTTTGTAAATATATTGACTTAATTGTATGCACTATGTTTATAATAACATTTTACACAAGCGCGTCTTAATCAACCCTTCATCAAATTAATCAAAAATTCTTAAAATCCTAATTTTGCACCTTTTATGGCTTTTGCTTTGATCAGCAGATTCACCTTCTGTCGGCTGAGAATGTGTAAACGGTTTCGAGGTCCTCTTGTGTTGCTTCGTTTGTTTCTCTTTCTCTTTTAACAACCGACACATGAAACTTTTCATGCAAACAATATTACAAAAGTTATTCTATGCAATACTTTTAGTTGTATTGCAGGTAGTTTATTTTTTTTTATCTATTTAGCACCAAATTTTGCCAATGAAGCTTTATATTTGCCATTGACTCTTCCCAAAATAGCTTCAAAATGTAGACGATAAATTTCAAGAGCGTTTCCAAAAAATTTGGGAATGCTTCGGAAGCGAAGAACACCGATATAAAAAAGTTGCCAGATTGGTGAATTATATTGTTTAAAGTTCAAAAGGAAATTTAAARAACTGTCTAATTCTCCCTCACATGTATTTTTTTGCGTACTGCTCACTCTAATGGGTTTCGCCTATTGGCGAATACCTCATMACATCAGATCTAAGTTATCATATGCTGCATGACACATAGAAAGCGACACGACAAGGCAGCACGGCAGTGGACTGTAAATGGCGTCGTGAATCCTACTACATGAACATTTGTAAGCAGGCAGCGACATAACAATGGCCGGCATATACACAAAACMACACAGCTGTCAATTTCGTTGTGGCCATACTAATACCTTGCACTTCAATGAAATTTTAATATTTTGTTCAAAGTGAAATTTTAAGGCAAAAAATAATTAAATAGGCAAATTTATTTGGTAAATTTATTTGTTTTAAATTATAAATTGTTATTACAAATGACATAACAGAGCTATTTTATGCTTTTATTTGTAAAATAACTTATCCACTGTCAACTCTACTGTCGTCGTCAAATTCAAAAATATTTTCAAGTTAGCGAGAGCAACAACTGAGAGCCTGTTTAAATTTAAATAACTGTGTCCATAAGAACGTGTGTATTTTAATATTTGACAGATGTCGCTTGCAGTGTGTAGCACTCTATGTGTTCGGCACATGAACCTTCTCCGYCATTATTGGCAAATTCTGTTTCGGTGCCGCCAGAGAGCGTAGATTTATAAAAATAGGTGCCAAAAGGCTTACATACTATGTTTTTAATAGCAATATATATTACTGAGCATATTTATCATTCAATTCTCACCTCTGTTCACGCGGCACGTTAGGTTTCTCCTTCCGAGCTAGCAGTGGTGAAATCCGCCCATCGTCTTTTGTGCTTTTCCGCAATTGAACCATGATTCAATTAAAAAAAAAACACTTTGTCAAAAAAAAATTTGGTAAAAAATGTGTTTTACTATGGTAGGCCGAGAACTTTTCAATCGACCTATTATGTAGTCGATGGAAGCTGGCAAAATTCGTACACCAATTTTCTGCTTATTAAATGGATAGGAGCGAAAGAAAGTATTGACCCGGTATTTTCATTTTAGGCATACATAGTTATTAGTTACATATGATATTTTAATTTCTTTCAGAAGTGCCCAAAAAATAAGGTGACATTTGAACTTAAACTGCTTGCGTTGAAGTCATCAACCTCAACCGACGAAACTCACATTCAACATTTGGTGTTGCAAAACCGTCGATTAACAATTAGAGACCTTGCTGATGAAGTTGGCATATCGAAAGGCTCAGCCAATACATCAGCCAAATCGTCGGGAGGGGATTGCTTTGAATGGGTGGAAATWGATTTGGAAGAATAAATAAAGAAATAAATACAATGTCACCTTATTTTTTGGGCACAGCCCAAAAGCAGAAGGACTTACTGTTGTTTATATATTCAGTATATGGGGGCTTGAAAAGTTATGAGMCGATTTCAAAATCTTAGATGCAACCGAACTTAACGTCATTTCTGGTTTTGTATTAAATAACKTAGGTATGAATTTTATACTCAAGAATAAAAATAATTTCGACGGAGAGTGGGAAACTAGTAACCACATACAATACTTTGTGTCATTTATAAACAACCTGAATATTCGTTTTGCACCTTATGACCAGTATAGAAAGTGGCGAAACTAACAAATAAAAAATATAACAATACTTACATACGAAAACTTATTTAATAAATTTCTTTTTAACTTTTGTATACATAAATATAATTCTGAATGGAAATACAGTTTTGGATAATCTGTAATTAAAAGATTTCGCTCACATTAATATTTGTCTGGCTTAACTATCATAATAAGGCCACTTATTTATATAAAATATGTATGTAAATATGGATCGATTGAATTATGTATTACTACAGTTACAATTCGAGCTGATAGACATWTAACTAAATCCTAAATATACGTAAAATTGTGAGATTCAYTTGCACACATATGTATAAAAAGACGGAATCGTTGCGCTGTTAAAAAATAATTGTAAACTTAAAATAAAATGCATTCATTTGTGTAGGATATAGACATTTGATGGAATGCTTTCGTTAAATGTTTTTATATACATATTAATATGTAAGTATATCGAGATATAATACTACACCACTACATAAAAGAGTGCAGAATGGACGGAATTTATATTGAATGCATTCGAAATGTACTCAATAATGTCAATCAGTTATTGTTTAGGTACATTGAAATAAGGTACAACAAACTAACTACTAACACGGTGTTGAGGCCACTGCGGTAGTGGCGACTTGCGTGATTGCGCGTTGTTTTACCTAGAAAGAAATATTATTTAGATTTAAAAAATTTATTCATAAATGTTCACCGTTAGAGACTTACCCATTTGGAAGCGCAATGTGGGACTGGACATGCGACCATCGCCGCCATTACTGAATGCCAGTACACGCATATTATAGCTTTTGCCTGGCGTAAGATTCGTTATGTATGCCTCCAACTTTTCACCAACAGGAATGATTGTGTTATTAGCTGTAATCATATTTTGATCGCTCTCCCATACGCGTACCTACAATTTCAAAATACACATAATTTTTAAAATTGTGTGTTTTTTGTAAAATCATTAAAATTACTTTATAACCCTCGATGGGCTCTTCATCCTGTGCTGGTGATACATAACGCCATACCACACGCACAGTCGAAGGATTTATGCCATACACGTGTACTGATGATGGCGGCTTTTGAGGCGCCTTGCGGTACGTTCGCTCTATAAATAAGAMATTTATTACCAATAGTTAGTATAAGCGTAACATATCTTACCTTCGAAACGTTCACTTTCTGGTCCCTCGCCGGCAGCATTATAAGCCATCACTTTTACAAAGTAATATGTATCTGGTTGCAGACCCACAATTAGAGCCCAATTTCTTGTAGTACGTGACAGATAGTATACAGAATCCTCTTCATTATGTGTAGTCTTCCAATATTTCAACTAAATAAAAAGAGAAAATATTTCAAATTAGTTTCGAAAATGAACATGAAAAATGCTAAACCTTAAACTTACTCTGTGCCCTATCAATTTTCCGCGCACATTCTCCCTGGTCATTTCGATCGGTTGCCATGTAACATTGAAAGCCGTGGAATTGAAAGGTATAGCAAATGGTTTTTGTGGAGCTACTTGTGGCATATCTTCCGCCGAGTATATAACTACTGGTTCACTCTCGGGACCCTTACCGATATTGTTAATGGCCTGCACTTTCACCTCATATTCGGTGTAATAGTTATTTTGTGGTATATTAACAACCGCTACACCATCGTTTTGCAAAGATTTTAGCTCCTCGGAGGCCCATTCTAACGTGCCTCTTAGCTTCCAGAACACTTTGTAATGTATGCCATGACTATGTTGTTCTTGTGGCAAGAGTGGATCCCATGTAATTGTTAAATCTCCAATCTTACCACCGCCCCCACCTACGTTACGCGGTGCTATATATGGCTTGTCTTCGTATGTGCTGTAGATTGGCGACGGAGCCGATGGTATACCTATACCCAAGTCATTAACAGCAGCTACGCTAAATTCGTACGAGCACCACGGTATGAGATTGGAAACCTCTGCCTGCTGTCGGCCAGTGTAACGGTCTACCTCACGACCGCGAACACTTGTGGACACATTCACCCAGGTTCGATTCCAATTGGTGCGYCCCAGTATATTATAGTATCGTATAGGCCGTCCGTTGTTGGCGCCATCTACCCACTCAATTATCGCTTTCGTTTTACCAATTTCAATAACTTGTACACCACCAGGCGCACCAGGAGCACCTTCGATTACCACAGAGGTTCTAGATGCTATCTCATTCACTGAAGATTTCACCACGCATTCATAGTCACCACCGTCAAGCAACGTTACGTTATGTACGGTGAGTCGATTACGATCAATTATCTATGAAATTCAACATAATTAGATGAAATRTATATATTGTTGATTATAATGCAAAAAGCATCTTACAATACGTTCAGTGCCATCATGATTGTTTCGCAATGTTTCGCCATTACGTTTCCACACAAAAGCGACATCAAGCAACTCATCATAGCTAGCGTCGCATTGAAGGAAAATCAAATCGTGTTCTTGCGTGGTAATGCGCAGTGGAGGTGTCTGTGTGAAACGCAGCTCCTCTAAAATAGAAAATRGGTTTGATATCATACACAATATGTAAAACAAATTACTTACGTAACACAATTACTCGTGAGCGTGACTCATCCGTCCCCGCTTTATTAGTCGCAACGCATGTGTATAAACCCTCATCGTCCCGTGAAGTTGGCGCTATTATCAACGTACCACTGGGTAAAATGCGCCTATGACCCCCAGCACCGATAAGTTGACCATCCTTCTTCCATTGGAATTTAGGACGAGGTGCTGCTTCGGGATCGCATACGATAGTCGTGTTGCCATTTTGCACAGCATAAATCTCTGGTTCAAGTGGCCTTTTCTTGAATGACGGTTTCATTGATAGTACTCGTAATTGGGCGGAGGAGAAAGCAGTTTTCAATTGGTTCGTCGCACCGCACTGATACATGCCGTCATCCTTGTCCGCCTCCAAGTATTTGACAGTAAGCACATTGTCCTGTATTATATAGCGATCTTTATCTATGCGCTCTGGATCTAAGCGTTCTGCATTTTTATACCAAGTATAATTAACATCAGGTATTGCAAATGCCTCGCAAATAAATGTCACGTCGCCGTTATTATCCATTATTTTATCTTGTAATGGAATTGTGAATTGTGGCTTCATTTGTATATTGATGAAAATCGATTTATGTATAGTTTTGCGCGGATTAGAAATTGTGCAGGTATATTCCCCGTTATCGTTTGTTGTTGCATTCTCAATAATTAGCACGCGACTATTGCTTACGGTATACGCATTACGCTGTAGAGGTTGGCCGACTCTAGTCCAATTATACGAAGGTATAGGATACCCAAAACCGACACATTCGAGGCGTATCTCATCGCCAGCAATGGGAGCTTCGGGGAACACCTGTAAAAAGTATATATTATTGAAACATATTTAGATATTATATATATTGCAACTGATCACCTTTGGGAATGTGTTTGCGAAAATTAACGTTTGATAGTTGCTGTTGGGCGTTACACGCAATGGGAAAAATGGACCATTGCGGCCAGTATCGGAAACTGATGTCTGTACACTACATGAGTAATTGGCGCGATCAACTATCTCGATGGATGAGAAATATAAAGCACCATCATTAGATACAAACACCCGCTGATCTTCTTGAACGAAATTCGGAAAATAATCGCGCGCCCAATAGTATTTTACATCTGGATAATGTTGTGGTGGATCACAAAATATAGATTTGCCCCAATTCATATCAGCAGTTTCGGCCGAGCGTTTCAGATTGAACTCCATAATAAATCCGAAATTCAAATGTGCACTCTCGGAACGTATGCGTCCGAATTTRTTTTCCGCAACACAATGGTAAGCACCTTGATCGAGTGCTTGTTTGGGATCGTAAATTATCAGGTTACCTCCGGAAATTGTATAGCGGTCATTAGTTAATGGATCAATAGTCATATATTCAAGTGAATCATTTACATAGACTTCGCGATACCAGCGGTATGTGGGTGTGGGAAATCCGCCTGCCAAACAACTCAACGTAACATCGTTTATAAGTCGATTCTTGCTCGTATCGAATGTCGTGTCATTTGGCTGTTTTACAAAGTAAGGACCGCGTGGAATTTTTTCCAAATCTTTAATATCTAAGCCGTAATGAAATGGGCGCTTGTCGTCTAATTTCAGCTTGATATTTTCAGGATTGTATAGTACTTTTGACTCGCAGATGAACAAGTTCAATTCTATGTCATAGGCAGGCATGAAGGTCCACCGGTCGCGTTTCTTTGAAAATCCATAAACGACACGATCTCTGGTAAATGGGTTATCTCCATTCTGGTTTGGTCCTGTAAAAAAAAAAAATAAAACATAAATTTTAATATAATCGCTTTATAATTATATTACTTCGTACCAATAAATCCACGCAAATTGTTTTGATTCCGACTATTGATAGAGCCTGGCACAGTATTGTAGAACTGATTGGGATTATTACGATTATAATCAGTTTGGTACATGTTCTGGACTAAGAATCGATTGTCGTGTAAATTTTCATTTTCAAACGATTGATCTTCATCAAACGCAAATGAGTCTTCCAACACGAGGAATGGTGAATTATCATCGTTTGCCCAGCTATTGGGTCCAGTCTGTCTTGCTGATATCCAAAATCGGTTCTGGCGTTGATTCTGTATTATCAATTGTTTCAGTATAAAAGAATGTTTTTCAACACTATCTACATTTAACAGCTCGGCATTGTAAGCTTTACAAATTTTTTTTGCCTCTAGCCAGTTACGTTTTGGCGAACGTATGAATCTGTAGCAAGTTTGGCGAAAAGATATCCAATGCTCTGGGCAGTAATTTTGTACTTCATTGTCTATATAGTCAAAGCTGGTTGATGTGATTCCACGGTTGAACGGATCATARTTACTTATACCACTACCGCCTGTCCCATATATGCCTCCAGTATTACCACCACCTAAGGCGTTCGATGACTGATCATAAAAGTTATTTTGGTTTGGCGGTCCAACCAGTAAGCCGCCACTCCCCTGTTGGGAGTTTTGTAGATCTTTTTGAGATGATATTAGTGGATTRTCGTATTGTGAAACGGGTGACCCTTGCTGAGTATTCGTATAAAGAGGATTATAACGGGGTTGATATTCTTTGTTGTATGTGGGTTGATATGTTTGTGGCTCGTTAATTTGTGCGTCAGGACTTGCATCAGCGTCGCCATATCTGAATAATGCCAGAAGGACGACAAAAAACACAGCAAGCAACGCCATTTCCGCCGATAAATATCAAGGAAAAGCGCTTAGAATAACAAGACAAATTAGTTGAAACTCAGAATATCTGGTATTTTAAAGGCACATTTTTGTCGGTTGTTGCGAAATATAAATTCGAATGGTTCCTTGCTGTAAAAATTTCAAATGGTTGAAATGAAAACATGAAATATATTTATAGATATGTACATATGTATGTATGAAAATCGAATTAAAAAAGCATCTTGAAAAATTTAATTACATTCGTTAAATAATGCAAATGGGCAAATTAGTTAGTAGAATATACTCAAATGGGTGTGAAATATATGTCATGTGTATACATACATATGTATATAGAGGCGAGAAAATAAACATTAAACGGTACAAAATGTTTATGAGTAAATTCATATTCAGACATTTGTTCTCACGTACCTAGTACATTTGTTGAAGTTCAAACTTTATATACCCTAAATAGAGTACATTAGTTTACCACAAGTTTTCTAATACTCTATAAAATATACATATATGTACATATATAAATGATCAGCATGAATATATAAATTTCAGCATGAATGATGAAAATCATGGGAATACTATTTTATTTGACGATATATCTTTGATTTATTGTTTTAGCCTACTGTCCAGTCTCTAATTTGTTCAGACTATGAAGTAGTAAAGGGTATTATTTCTTTGTAAATTTTTCTTGTTTACGTTATTTATTAATCAAAAATTAAAATATTTGCAAAATAATACACTGTTTATTTAAATTTTCGAACATTTTCAATAAGGTAAGAAACTGTTAAAAATAAAAATTCAAACAAAAAAGTAGATGTAGATGGAGATGATACTAAATGTCATATTTTCGTAGACATATTATTACTGAAGTCCCTAAAATTCTTATGCGTGCGTTAAGTACGTTGGCAGAGATAATACGTTGGTGTGGGCATTCGTACGAGTTAGGTGTGGCATTGTCTTTAAAGCAACTGTATCTTTTGTATTTAATTTAAAAAAATKTAAACTAATTTTATTTTAATATATTCAATTTAAGAATTTAAATATATACTGGAAATCTTTGATTTTTATAGAGAATATGCTTATATGTAAAAGAAGGTAGTAATAAAATGATAACTGCGCTGCCTTCGTCGATAGAATGCCAGCAGCGCCCCGTTCAATGCACAATTCACGTAATTCTTTAGTATTGTATGGTTTTCACATTAATTAATGTCCGGATTCACTTAACTCTTTTATATTATATTTAAAAATGGTATCGAGTATTATTTTAAATCTTTTAAAAGTTTATTTGATCATTTACGTATAAACTGAGTCACACGGTCGGCTTGATCTTTATTAAGTCAAACTTACGCCAACYGTAAACCACRCCTTAAAATATAGTTGTTAATTTCTTCATATAAAAAATCGGTATGGAAGTTATATTTCAAACAAAAATTGTATTACCTTTCAAGAATATTTTTTTCTGCTGACGTTTTCAATTATACGGGTATTCTTATTGGAAACAAACTGAAAATTAATTGAAAACAAAAATTTCACCCAGCTGCGAATAAATCGGACACAACAGAACGAGCACAAAAAGTGAAATAATCCATTCAAACAAGAAAACGATTAAATAAGAAACGAAAGAGAAACAGTGGATTTTGGTATTGAGACATTTAAACAAATATTAATTCACAATAGAGTTTTAAATCTGAAACCAAGAATATAAGTCCGTTTATATTATATAATGGTATACCTTATATCTGTTAAGAACCTTTCTTATATGTACGTTACATTTTATAAACTTCACAAACTAATTTAATTGATCAAATAAATTCCATTTATAAATATATTTTAATAAAAGCCAAGAATTAGAAGAAGAAGGTACCTTAACTAATGGATTTCTCCGAATTTTAGTGTCCTTAACCATAAGTAATATGTAATAACAATTTCCAGTAATTAGTAATTACACGTTACATTGCTTCATTYGGAGACATTCCAAAACAATTAGGGTATTCAGAGGTATAGGGAACTCCAAATCAATTTATCAATCAATATTTCAAATTATTCTTTGTTCCCAATATAGAAATGTTCAGTATTTTATTTAATTTAAATCTACTTAATTAATTTATATTTTAATAATGTTTTTTAGAATGTAGGGTGAGTTTTCATTTTTCAATTTAGTCGATCTCAAACAATTTTCCAATGATCCATTTGCTTTATAGATAATATCATGGCATAAGCAATATTGCAATTGTATGGGGTCAAAACGTCTATTTTCGAATGACTTCAAATTTTGTAAAACCTTTGGTGTGCTTACACGATTAGCATCACAGAACTCGAGATTTCTCATGGTTTCATTCTCCAACCAACCATAATTCTGATTTGTATATCGGGGTACACAAAATTCGTTTCTTGGAAAGTAATTCTCGATTTTTTCCAATTCATTCTGATAGTACCTAACCTCCGGAGTATCGATTTTTTCCAAATGTTCATATTTAGAATAGAATTTCTCAGTCAAGGGTAAACTTTTATAGTTCGGCTTGAAAGTATGATAATCATCACTGCTCACAATCCCCTGACATCGAAAATTTGGTTTACATTTAGGATTTTTTTGCAATCCAGAAGACAGAATTAATTTATTTGGAGGATAATTTACAGCGAATTTGTCTACCTAAAACTCAAAGGGAGCAATAAAGTATTCTACTAATATATTAAACTTATTGAACTGACCTTGGATGGAAGTTCTAATTCTGGACACGAACAAGGGTGGTCCTTTCTAGKGCATTTTTTGATACCTCCCAACATGCGACAGCACACGCTCATTGGATCACAACGTTCTGGTTCATTAAACCACCTGGGCAGAGGGTTAGAAATGCATTTAATAGCTTCGGTCAATTTCTCTTCGCGTGACATGCCTTTTTTTGTACAAAGCGGGCATGGTGATTGTTTCTTTCCCTTCTCATCTAACTTAATACAAATTCCACACGGTTTTGGCTTTCCACTTTTGTCATCATTCTGATATTTGTATTGAATATTAATATTGTGGTTACAAAATGTGTGCAGTGTTGGTGGTTTTAGATTAGTCCTTTCGCAAGGTGGTATCGGCGGTTTATCATTCACAATATCACGACATTCATCAGCTATCTTTTTGGCAAACAAGTTAAACTGTGTATCAGTAGCATCCGAATCGTGGCACTTCATACCTCTATTTTTTTTTTTTTTTTTTTTTTGTTGCTATATTTTTACAATTCAGGTTTGAACATACTTTAAAAAAACTAAAACTTTTCGATGATTAGATTTTCAATACATACCTTTTTATTTAATTAAGCTTAGTGGACCATTGAAACATTGAAAGCACAATTTTTATTTTGAGGAATTTTTTCTTTTATTAAATAATGGTGCTACATTATGATGGTAAATTTCAAAACAAATTATCTAGACCGCTCGTTAATAAATTTAATTATATCTGTCTTAATATAATAATTATTTTGTCCAAATGCTCAAGCCTTTTATTGGTTTCTCTTTAAATCCTTGCACTAAAACATCTGCTTCCCACCAAGTTGGCAAGAGCTGAACATGTTTTTTGCAACCATAATCGCTTTTTCTATTTTCACTATCATTTATATTAAGAGACATCACACCTTCAAACACTTCAATCTCCTTACAACAATTTAATGTCTCGTTTTCATTCGGTATAGGTAATGGTGAATGCTGCAAGTGAAAATGAATATCCTTACAACTTGGAGGCAACTGATATATGTCTTTTGGTAGTAACTCTGTTTTTGAACAAGTGTCCCTTAAAATGCCTTCTTCACATAATAACTCCATTTCAAGATACAAGTTGGTTGGGCAAAGATTATGTGAGAAAATGCCATACAGATCTTCACTGGTTAATAGTGAGCTGTAAAAATATTTATTTTATATTTGTTTATCAAATGTATGAATTTTACTTACATTAATGTTTGATTTAGTCGAGCATGTGGAATGCGGTGTTGATGATGGGAATGCAATCGCGATATTGAATCGATTGGTATGTGAATTGTGTATGCTTCCTTTGCTGTAAAAGTTGTTGGTCCAAATAGAAATCTTAAGCTACGTACATTATTATTGTCGAATGACTTTCTAATCAGCTCACGCATTGCACTTATTGCCTCTTTAGTTCTAAGAGCCTGCTCACGTTGTCGCTSTAATTGATAGGAGTGAAGGCCGCTTGAATATTGTCCAGATTGCGTACAAGTTTCCATGTTGCCATTGGCAGTACGTTCTATTTCATCTGTCCATAATCCGACATAGTATTTGTAAGTGCTGTAAACGAATGGGATTTGGTTTCTTTGGAATAGCAGAAACTCTAGGATTGAGTTTACTACGTCTGCTGCTGAACCTGAGGTTAAAACGTCTACCTCAATATTCAAATTTAATTGTTTTGTTGGCGGCATTTTYGCATTTAAAATCGAAAAAAGTTAATTACTAATTTCAATGACAACAAAAAAATGATACAAGTGTGACAGTGCTGACAATCCAAACCGCGAAAATGGGAAAAATCTAAAACTTCTCTTGGTTTGATATTAACGGATAGCTTATATAATTTATTTTGCACAATTAATGGTTTTAATATGATCAGCAATATGAATTCTTGAAAACCCTACCTTTTTAGTATTTATGAATTCAACAAATATTTGTATTATGATTTTTTCTGACAGTGTCCATAACTAAATAAAATAAAAAGTCTTCGTTCAGCTTTGAATCGTGTATAGCTTCGTGGAAAAGTAGAAGAATATATACAACAATATATATACAATATCTAAGAACATGGATTTTGAACACAAATTTTGTAAGGAACAGTACCATTATGGAATAAGCTTAACAAAATAATAGTTCAAAAGGTGGAGTTCCAAAAATGGGGATATGAGACGTTTTATATAATAAAGTTTCGATCTGCGGAGTATCTGTAATCCATAGCAATGTCATTAACATAATGTCATGCTGGCTATCATATTCATAAAAAAAAATATTATTTTTATTATCAGTAGTCAACATTAAATTTTGTTTCAATATAACCAACAACAAATTATGTAATTTTGATATGAGGTTTAATAACAGTTTCTAACATATTTAGAATTGAATATCTCTAAAAATATTCTACCAATATTTTAATTGTTAGTTTGTCACGAATCATGGTGAAATATTACATAACGACTCTGTCATTCGACAATTACTTAATATCATTTTACAGTTTGTAGTGTGGCAACGCACTTCATCACTTGTTCGCTTCTTTCGTGCTGTTGATTTCAAAACTTTTGTTCCTCGATTTGCATAATTTGGCATTAACTCACTGGTCATATTCGTTGACTTCTCATATATGATAAAACATTGCTAGATTAATAATGGAAAACAAACCGTCGGTGCTGATATTGGGAGGTAAGTAAATACTATATATTAATGACAGTTTCCGGTTGGTATTTCGCTTGCATTAGTTTTGGTAGAGAACTCAATWACTGATCAAAAACCACTAATAATTGCCTTTTGTTTTATATTGATAACTTGTATCGTTACGACCTTCTGCCTACATATAGGGTGTGGATTCATCGGCCGTAATATGGTTACTTATTTGATAGAAAATGATTTGACTGAGGAAATCCGTGTGGTGGATAAAACACCTCCGCAAATGGCCTGGCTGAACGACCGTCATAATCAAGCTTTTGGTAACAAAAAAGTGGAATTTTGCAGCGCTAATCTCATAAATGCCGGTTAGTATACAATATATATATTTACATATTGCTGTGAGTCATACAAATGTACGTACGAAAAAATCCACACAATTTGTATTCTCGCCGCACAAAACTTGGTATAAGAGTATCTATATGGACTTTCAATGAGTTTGTTTATTTGTTTGCTATAAGTTTCCAACTTTACTATATGTTAATCCTCCACAGCTTCTTGTAAGAATGCCTTCGCCCCACACCCCATAACAGGACGTACTTGGGATCTAGTTTTCAACTGTGCAGCAGAGACACGTCCAAATCAAACAGAAGCTGTCTATAAGGAAGGAATACTTAAATTAAGTATGAATTGTGCCAACGAAGCAGCAAACATAAAAGCGAAGAGATTTATCGARTTAAGTTCCGGTTGTGTTAACAGTTCGGAGAAGGTGCCACAAAAGGAGGAATGTAAGCATGAGCCGTGGACTTCTCTGGCTAAACAAAAGCTGAAGGTCGAGCGTGAGCTTGAAACACTAAGCGATGTGTTGGATTATACGGTTGTGAGACTGCCAATCGTCTATGGGGTAGGAGATAAGCGCTACTTGAGTGAGTACACTTATATAATTTTCGATAATAGTTTCACACACATACGCCCATATTCGTCAAAATAATTTTTTATCATACATTGGTGTTTATGTATTTGCTTCAGTGCCTCGCGTTATTGTGGCTGCAATATACAAGTAYTTGAACGAGTGTATGAAGTTGCTATGGAATGAGTCTATGCGACTTAATACTGTGCATGTTGATGATGTTTGTGCGGCAATGTGGTTTTTAGCTCTTAATCCAGCCGCTGCAAGTGAAATATACAACATCGTCGATGACGCTGATTCAACTCAGGGAACGATAAGTGACATATTATCGGATGTATTTTCAATAAATGTTGATTATTTTGGCGTGGTCATGTCGAATTTGACAAAGGTACGTAAATTTTCTCATTTATCGTAATATTTTCTACTTCTAAGAAACTATTTTTCTTTTAATATCTTCAGTTAAGCCTCTCAGATACAGTGAGTGATGTAAATGATAAACACATGACGCCATGGGCGGAGATATGTCAAAAGAATGAAATCAACAATACACCGTTAACGCCATATTTAGACGAAGAGCAATTGTATCACAAACACTTATATTTAGATAATACAAAATTAAAGACTGCAGGATATGTGTTGAAGGTGCCTAAGTTAACGCGTGATCATGTAATAGAGATCATTGAAGATTATATAAAACAAAAACTTTTTCCAAAATCTCTAATGGTTTAAAATTCGCAACCACTAATTTGGTACTGAATTGGGAATATGTGAATTAAATCAATTAGAATTATATAATATAAACTCAAGTTACTGGATGTTAATAAGAGTTAYACAAAATTGATATTAATGTAACAATTAAAGACATTATAAGACCTAAGTTCTTTTTGTACACATTTAATGTACTACGCCGATATGATCTAAAGTGTACTTATAGTATTACTGTAAAGTAAGATTTTTAAATAGACGACTAAAACGAATTTTAATGTTTTACGTATCTATGTATTCGTATCTACTCACATAATTATTTTATCAAACAATTTTATATAAATGATATTTTAYAATAAGCAATAATGCTTTGTCATATTTTGTGCCAAGATAAAATAAAAATGAAAACKTAATAAAAACTTAAAAATTATAATGAAAACAAAACAAATAAGTAACGGGAAAGTTTACTTAAATAAAACATAAATATACTCGTATGTCATTTATGACATTTTGGTTAAGATAACTATTTGAACCTCTAAATTGTTCAAAGTAAAACTAACTTTAAAACAAGAAAAAACGTTGCATTGAAGCTAATATACGCTTCACAGGTGCATTTATTTCAGTAAGTTCAGTTTCTATGGAAGCTATATGCTATAGTTAATCGATCTAAATTTCTTCGTATATTACATTATTATTTTAGAAAATAACCTGTGCCAACTTTTGTGAAGATACATTGTCCAATGTGAAATTTTTCCTTACAAGAACTTGATTCCGATCGTTCAGTTTGTATGGCAGCTATATGTTATAGTGGTCCGATATCGGCAGTTCCGACAAATGAGCAGCTTCTTCAAGAGAAAATGACGTTTGCCAAATTTCAAAAGGATATCTTAAAAACTAAGGGACTAGTTCGTATATATATAGACAGGCAAACGGACATATGTAGCTAAATCGACTCAGCTCAACATACTGATCATTTATATATACTTTATACGGTCTCAGAMGCTTCCTTCCGGGTGTTACAAACTTCGTGGCAAACTTAATATACCCTATTCAAGGTATAAAAAGAAAAAACGTTAATTTCGAAGCTGCATCGAAGCTATAATACCCTTCATTGTTGCAAAAATGGAATAAATAGATTTATATTGATTTTGATCGTCTAGTTTTTACGGCAGCTATATTCTTATATCGTTTGTTTTCGCTTTATCGTTGTCTTGGGCAACACTTCGAATCCAAATTTGAAAATTGCCATTTCCAAACAAAAATATGCGAAATATAAATATTTCATATTGATAATATTAGATAGTTAGCAAATATGACCGATTTCACATGATTTTAACGGTATAAAAAGGAATGAATCGTGTGAGAAAAGAAATTTATTAATTGTGAATAGCTTTAAAGTCGAACTCTTTCTATAATGTCATACTAAACTTAAAAAAAAAACCACAGATATAATAAAATATTAATATTAAAATTTTTTTTGTGCTAATTTTTGTGCAACGATTTTTCAATTGCAAGCGATTTCGACAAACGTGCAGCTTAGCTTCTTTGTTCAAACTTAATATAACATAGCTTATTCAGCGTATAAAAATRACGGTCTTAAGCACCGATCATTTACCACAGCAATCCTCGAGTCTATGTTTTTGTAGCTTATATGTTATTACTGTATGGTTGAAAACCGGGCGGACTCGGCGTTTTATCTGACTAAGAAATGTCATCAGGCATGTTCAGGGTGGCCTCTATATGCATGTTCTTATACTCACATTGGTGGTCCATCTCTGATATTTTTAAGGGAACCCATTTCTAATTTGTCAAATAATAATGGCAGCACAATGTGAGATTTTTATTAGTTATTTAATTTTTAATACATTTTTGAAGTTAAAATATTACCATTATACAGCTCATAATTATATATGCTCCATYCTCTTATCTTTCTTTTATAAGTCAATTTACAATAAAATGCATTGCTTTACTTTTTAAAACTTAAAGTTAAATATCAACACAAATCTATTTTAAAAACARAAGATAACATGAATTATTATTAATACAGCGTCATTAGGTCGTTTTTTGCTTTGTGGTGAAATAAATTACAGCAAGTACAATTAAGAGTTAATGAAAAACGTCAAAAACTGTGTGTGACCTTGATTGAGTGTCGGCGTCTAACATTGCAAACATAGCACCGCTTAGCACCCAAAGTGGCATCAAAGATGTGTTGTGGAAGGCCACTTTTTACACTTTTACGCATACATACTGTATGTACGTACGAATGTTAATTTACACTTAAGAAGATTGGCAGGATGTTGACATTACTTTACACATTTAACAAATATTTYATAATTCATACAGTGAAATGACTTGAACTGAAGATTCGATTTTCGCCAATTACAGTCTGAACAAATTGTTATAACAAACGCTCATGTTTTCGTTACATTTTTCATTTTTTGTTTTTGGAGTGTGTGTGAGTGAGTTTAGTATTCGTTTATTTCATAATATTTATTTGATAATTGAATGATGCGTCTTTGTTTTGCTGCTTGYTCCATGCTTAATAATAATTAAGTGCTAATGCGTCGACTGAAATATCTGGCGCTTAGAAAGCCAAACCGGCGTCGCGGTAGGTCGTGAAAATCTTCTCAATGGAATTAACATAAGCGGCGGTTCTCAAGTCAAGACCCAAGTTGTATTTCATGGCGGTCTTCATGATGGCACGCGCCGAACGCTCCATGGTGTAATCCAGACCGGAGTGTACGATGTCTTTCTCAGAGGCACCAGAGATGCGCTTCTGGAATGCTTCCGATGGAGTAACCGGAATACGACCACCGACACGGCCGAAGCGACGTTCCAATGATTCCTGTACGGATTCTGTATTGAAGAAGAGCGAAATGTTCAAAAATTAGCATTAAAATTTAGCTTTAGTGAGAAGTACAWAAACTTGTTAAAGCACAAAAGCAAACATTATAGGTATGAGGTATGCAAACTGAATAACTGATAGACTAAGAACTAGCGATAGTTAACCAAAAAGGGAGTTTTGTTTTATATATGTACGTACTTTGTATCAATTCTCATGGCAAACTAAAGAAAGCGTGTGATTAATAATTTAAAGCAAAGTGCAGGTAAAATCTTAAATCTCTTTTAGACCAAGCAATTCATGCAGAGGTTGGAACTTGCGTTTAGGTTGGGGAAAAGGGAGTTTAAATTGTGCTTCTTTATATGGATCAAGAAATTTTATACATACAAGCAAATATGTATATACATGGTATAATTTAAATAAGCACAAACAATATTGACAATATATCTACTTAGTCGACATAAGGAAGTTGTTAAAATCGACATTTTGGTACTACAAATTACGCGAAGGATATAGAAGATATTTACATGTTAACATAGAATAAAAAAAAATCAAAAATTGGAAAAGTTTAGACAAAAAATGAGTTCGAGATATGAGATGATTTAAAGAGTTAAAAAGAAGAACTGTACCGTCTAAAACAAATCTTTCAATGGATTGTTGGACTGAGGCTAAATTCGTAATAGAAAAACGGAAAAAGAAAAACACAAATTACTTATTGGTGAAAATATGGAAATTGTTTAAGAGTATTTGTTGGTGAAATGAGCTCTTATTTAAAATGTATTAACTGTGTTGCGAGTGCTATATAATATGGTAAAGTTTATATAGTGTGGTGAGTGTGAAAGAGCAACGAAATTTAAGCTTTAAAAAAGGGAAAAATATTAATTAATTCGAAAAGAAGTTTTGCAAGTATTTGCCGAACTAAAAAAAGATAATTTAATAAAAGCGAGAAAACTGAATAACCAAGTATTACAGTCGAACCTCGATCAAGGAAATGATGATAAATAACACCAATGAATTAAAAATTTAAACTACTAATTTATGAAACTAAAAAATGCAATTTTTAATATTTTGCTTTTGAATCAACTAATATAAGATTTATAGATTTATTAGCACACTTTGTATTTACTAATATTTAGGGAGGAAGCAGGGTTTTAAATTTAATTTTAGTTTTACATCAGATTTCAAAACTTTAAACTTTTTTCTCACAACTAGCTTTTTAAAATCGGTGTCCCTTATAGCAACAAAGCTACTGACCGATCCCTTTGAAATTTTGAACACTATTTCCATATAAAATTTACGAGGTAATGGCGCAGAGTTTTTTTTTTTCAATTTTGTTTACATTTCTAATTTTATAATAACAAATTCACTGAAATTGTTTCACACAAAATCGCGTTCTGCCTTCTAAGTGTTCCCGAAAAGTAAAAAATTCAATTTTCGAAAAACTATCCAGCATTATTTTGGATGTTTTGATTTCAAATGATTGAGGACCAAGTTTAGAAGGGCACCCCAATTCAACTTTTCTCCGAGACGCTCCAAAGTAGTTGTTGCTATTGCTGTATTTTTKAATATTTCTCCAAGAAAATTTAACAGAATGTTCTTCAAATGACAACGTAGATTTTAACTGTTTGAAAAAAAAGGCGAATCAACCCCACTCCCTCCTTGAGTATCTAAGTGTTTAGTACAACGTATCGAATTTCGACTGTAGTAATTAAACAACATATTTAAGTTATATATGTTATATACTGATATATGTCAATGAAATTTGGAAAGCTTTAACACCTTATTATAATAGCTCAATCAACCATAGGTGAGTGCGCTCTGATTGAAAATAATAGAGAAAGAAATATAATAACAAAAATATTTAAAATCAATCAATTTGATTTGAAACTAATGAAATAGTGCAAAATGCCATTCATTACTGCAGAAGCATATTGAGCACTTGCGCGGGTACGCTAGCATTAGAAATAACGGTATGCTTTTTGCTCAGTATTAATTTTTTTGGTAATGCAATGGCTTGTAAATCAATTATAATGTTTATCAATTAAAAAAAAAAAAAAAAAGCCAAGAGAAGCGGCCAAGTGCTACTTACCCAAAAGATGATAATTGGATTCACGCTCATATTTGAATGTAAGGCGACCGTATGAAACGTGGTTCAAATTTTTCAGCCATTCAAAGAATGAGACGGTCACACCACCAGCGTTGATATACAAATCGGGGATAACCAAAATGTTGCGTTCGATTAAAATTTTATCGGCAGCTGGAGTGGTTGGGCCGTTGGCGGCCTCGGCAATGATCTACAAGACAAGTATGTACAAAAAAATATTAAAGAATAAACTAATTCAAGTCCAATAAGTTTTGTATATTGTCCTCATTTAGGACTCGTCSTTACCTTGGCCTGGATTTTATGAGCATTTTCGCTGGTGATGACCTTCTCAACAGCAGCTGGCACAAAGATGTCGCATGGTTCGAACATCAAGTTTTCACCTTGGTAGGGCTTAGCGCCGGGGAATCCGACAATGGTGCCGTGTTCGTTTTTGTAGTCTTCCAATTCCTGTTAAACAATTATAAGCATTAATTTATTTTCATWCATGAAATAGTTTCTACAAACCTTGGGGTCAATACCCTCTGAATTGTAGATGGAGCCATCGTGCTCAATGATGCCAACGCAGGTGGCGCCAGCACGTGTCAAATACCGGCAAGTATGCAGACCAACATTACCAAATCCTTGAACGATAAATGTCTTGCCGCCCCAACCGGGAGTAGTGCCTGCAAAACCGAGAGAAATACATATTGTAATATAACGAACTAAATGCATCTAAAGTCATTTCATACCAATCATGCTCATGTAGTTAGCCTCATTAATGAAGTTTTCGAGACCATGGAAAACACCACGACCTGTCGCAGAAACACGTCCATGGATACCGCCCTGGTTGATGGGCTTTCCAGTTACACAAGCGTGTGCATTAATATCCAAATGTCCAATGGTCTTGGCGTATGTGTCGGCAATCCAAGACATTTCACGTTCTCCTGTACCCATATCGGGAGCTGGCACATCGACACCGGGTCCAATGAAGCCTTTCTTGGCCAACTCAAGGGTGAAACGGCGGGTAATCTTCTCCAATTCATGTTCGGAGTACTCCTTCGGGTTGATCTTGAGACCGGCCTTGGCGCCACCGAACGGTACGTCGACACAGGCGCACTTGAATGTCATAAGAGCAGACAAGGCTTTGACTTCATCACGTGAAACATCCAAAGAGAAACGAATACCTGAAAAAAACAATACATCACAATCATTAAGAATTTAATGCATTGATAGTATAATATTTAAGAATAAGAAGGAAAATGTAACATCAAGTGCAATTATTTACAAATGTTTATCTCACTAGAAATCATAAAAATAATTTCTAAATCTACAAAATCACTTATCTCGGTTATATGCAAAATKAAATTTTTTATGAAATTGTTGGTATGTGTGGTGGTTTTGTTGAAATTCCTTTATGTATTTAGTCTTATGCAATTTCGTTTTACACCTTATTACTCATAGGGTTAAAAATACATAATAAGTACAACATGCACAAATAATCCGCGAAACCGTGAGCTAAATGCGACACATACGCCCTGTTGGACGACGGCCAAACGTTGTATTAGTATGGTATTGGCACCACGAGAACAGTCAGTTAGTCAAATATGCACATGCATCAAGAAGAAAGGGAATTCAAGGTTTTTGTGACGACATCGAATTTCTATTCAATTAACCGAAAGCATTTCACAGGTGTTGGGAGCCTGATGTAAGACATAGCACACAGCCAAATGGCCTTTGCAAAACACCAGACGGCAGAAAAAACCAAAAATATCTATTCTATTTCGGTTCTTCAGAAACGTTTACAAYGTTTTTTGGATCCAATGAACTTGCCAATAAGTTCTATTTTTAAAGGGAGACAGAAAGAAGTTTTACTCTTTATGCCAGAAATCAAACAAAATCTTCAGTTTTGCCTGCCGAGAAGCAACTGAATGTAGACAGTTTTTGCAGGGTTTTTCACTTCTCTGTGCCAAAAAAATATGTATAATTCATAAATAATATAACAAAATTAGAATTTTCAAATTATTACTTAGAAGTTATAATGTTGTAGGTTGTTTAAGTATTTTAAAGCTGTGTTTTCTTATAATATTATAATTAAATCATTTTTGTCTGCGTTTGTTTTGTGTAAATTACGTACAGTACTTTTTTCACAACAAAATATGTAATTCAGCTTTCCCAACGAGTAGATAAGAAATAGCTAAACATTCAACTGTACTATTCGATTTGAATGTTTGTTTTTTATGTGTTTATTCGTATGTATGTTTATAAGTTTATGTGATTATGTTAGTAGTTCCGATAACTGTATCAAATAATTAAGAAATACGATAGACTAAAAGTCCATTCACATTCAACTTTGGGTAGTGGTGTAATTTCAGAAGAAATTGTACAGATCGGACTACTATAGCATATCGCTGTCATACAATTTGGCATGAACTATTACTTACAGCAATGGCATAGTTAAGATCGTTATAAAAAAATGTTATTTATATATATAAATGATCACGCCGACGAGACGAATTAAATTCCGAGTGACTGTCTGTCCGTTCGTTGTTTGTGCAGGCTGTAAATTGAGTAATAAAAGTAAATAAAAGTTGGAACACGTGTTCCTTGACACGTGAGGACGATTTCGTAGGTAAGCTAATCTGACCAAAATTTTCACAGGATTAATTATTTCGACACCTTTTGCGACAGCGTGTAAATAGGTGCAATCGAACTGCAGCCACGCCCATCCTCCATATAGTACAACTTTAAATTCCATCTCATATGTCCAATTTCCAGAATACAAACTTAATTGAAAGCATTTTGAACTTCCGCCTGACTTTTTACCCTATTGCATTACACCTCATGTAACTAATATCAGCATTTTCAAACATGTGGTTGCCATTAATTCTTATATGTACATACAATCGTGGCCATTACTGTTCAAAATTTTAAAGTATTGTGGATATTTGACTATACTTTATAGCAGTACTTTTTGCGGTTAACTTAAGTTTAACTTATTTCTAAATAAAAAATTTCTATACCGCTATAAAGTATAGTCAAATATGCACAATACTTGAAAATTTTGAGTGTTATTAATGTAATTAATCAAAAATATTGTAAATTAAAAACAAAACACATTCAGCTATAAATAAATCAATTGAAAGATAGTGAGCTTTACAAAATGAGCTCAAAATATTATAATATATAAGACACTGACACGCGATGAAAAAATGATATTTTTTTTAATTTCATTTTATTTACATTAATTATGTCATTGAAATTAATATTTAAATTTTTTTTGCTCATTAAACGTAATAAATTAAAAACTATACATAATTTTAATTAGATAATATAATTTAGTTTACTAATGCTTACTAAAAACATAAAAAAAAAACAAAATTGAAGAAAATGCCGAACGAACGAAAAAGTCCGAAAAAAATTTTAARAATGTATAGTGGTAAGGTTTGCATTTTTTGTTGACGCGATTAAAATATAGTATTAAAACTAAGTAAGTGTATGACCTTACACACCCGCTCAAAATAATAGTTACATAGAAACGTGTCAGCTGATTGCTCTCTCACAACCCAGGTTTCCAATATCTATATTCTGTAGTAATTATCAACTTTTATAATTCAATCTGTTCAATATGTTTGAAATTTTCTTAAAATAACTCTAAATCAGAGTCGAATGCTATTATTTATAAATATATGTATAAACTATTTTTAATAGTTTGTTTTCAGTTTTGATATTTTATATTACAAAAAATTGTAATTGAAAACATAGATGTGTACAAAACTATATATGCGTACTGAGCAATGGCAACATTGTGTAAATGAAAACAAACAAAGATGGCTGAATTTTGCGTTTATGCCACGTTTTTCACTGCTCACACATTTTGCCGATGAGGAAGGAAGGCTGTAGCGTTTTTCATTGGCTCTGCTATAATGCGTGTCAGTTTTGCGTGAATTCTCAGAAAAAAATTGCTCAATATAATAGTTACACATAAGTGAACTTAGCTTTTTGTGAAAACAAAATTAATTTTATCCAGTTTTTCAAGTTTTTTTATCTGAATTGGTAAGTTTTCTCTCAATGAAGCTCAAATTGCTGCAGATAAATGAAATTATTTTTTAATCAGATGGGTCGGAAGTCATATTGCACTGTTGAAAGAGCCCGGTTGGTTTCAATCCTCAGAAAGCATGGAAAATCACTTCGGGAAATTGGGAAATTAGTTTAAAGGTCTCATAATTTTGTTAAAAATGCTTTAGAGCAAAAATCTAGTAGGGGAACTCGTGGAAGGCCACAAAAAACGAGTACAGTTCTTGATCGCCACATTGTAATTATTTGTAAAAAGGACCCATTCAAGTCGTCGAAGGTGATAGCAGCAGAAATTGGAAATGTAGTAAGTGCCCAAACAGTTCGCAGGCGTTTGCAAAAGGCCAAGCTACCAGGACGTATAGCCAGGAAAGTTCCATTAATGCGATCAAAACATTTAGATATGAGGTTAAATTTTGTAAGAAGTCATTTGGTCAGGTCCTGAGGGAACAAAAAATGGAGAAACATCTTATGGAGCTATGAAACSAAAGTAAATTTTTTTGGAAACGATTGTGAGAGAAATGTGCGTCGCTCAAAAGAAAAGGAGTTTCAAGTTAGATTCACAAAAAAAACAACTGTGAAGCATGGAGGTGGGTATACCAGCAAGATAATGACCCAAAACATACCTCCAAACTGGTTAAAAAATATTTTGAAGTTAATAATGTTAACGTTTTGAAGTGGCCCTGGATTTAAATCCAATAGAAAACCTATGGGGAGAACTAAAACGAGACGAGTCAATCTTTCTCTAACAAATACCAGCTATGGGAGTGCATACAAAAAATTTGGTATGAGATACCTAAAGAAACCTGTCAGACTTTAATCAGTAGTATGACCAAAGGGATAAATAAAGTTATCCAGAATAATGGTGGATATACTGGCTATTGAGTAATGTTAAATATACAAAAAAAATGTTTTATCGTAATTTGTTTTTCCAAAATTGTCTTATTAAAAGTGTACCTATTTTTTGAGCAAGTTTATTTTAGCTATGAAATGTTTACATTTGTTTGTTTTGCTTTTTTAAATGAAGTTTATTTAAATAAGCTTACTATTACTATTGTAAATTGTCATAAAACTAAGGAATACAAACAAAATTTGGTTTAGTGGCAATTTCAAAGTCCATTCAATGCTTACTGTACTTAATTTATTTTTCATATATTGTAGTAATTTAGCATTTTTCTCCAATAATTAGACTTGCTTAATATTTAAATCCGACGAAAGGTGGTTAAAGAAAAATATTTCTTTATTTTCTATGCCTTCTTGCAAATTCAAAGATAAACAGCAAAGCAAACAGAATTATCTACCAGAAGCTACACACTAATTAAGAGAATACGAAAAACGCAAAAAATGAATTGAGGAAAAATAAATAAAATCGGCAAAAATCTTCGAAAGGCAAAACAAAAAGTTTACTCCGCGTGTCCTTAGTGTTTTCTGATAATATATTATGTTTATATCACATGCATATGCAAGACTCTGGTGTAAATGTACATTTTATACAGAGATATGCGAAAAAACAACAAAAGTAAATATTATTTGAAAACTAAATKAGTCGTATGATCAAAACCGCACTTTTTCACACATTAAAATTGTTCTCAAACCAAAATAAATAACAAATTTTAAAAGTAAATTCCATTTAGCAGAAGCCAAACAGATTAAAAATAGCTAATATCAACAACACAACGATTGTTGACCATTATTTGGCATGATCTGAGATCGTTGTTGCCAGGTTCATATGCAAGTGTGGATGTACAGTGAAGATTATCAGTGCAAATGGAATAAAACAAATATAAGAAAATTTAGATGTTGGCGAGGGGCTCGTTTTGCGTTCATTGTTGGAGGCGTGTACGTGCCGTATGCTTCACGAGATTAKATCATTATTTGTGATATGTTTCTCCCAATTTCTACGCCCTACAAGAAATTGCTGATGGATTCACYAATAACTTACATTTTTTATGTCAGTCGTGAAGGATAGTTTACTTGTCAGCTGAGCGTCATAGTTTTTGCTAAAAAGAGATATCTACGACTTATAATGCTTACATACATGTATAAGAAAGGAATAGTAAAACGATCAGTAAAATTACTATCAATGTTTACAGTTTGTACAAAAGCTAATTTTGTGTAYGCCAAAAAGAGACTACATACATTTCCCAAAGGAGTTTTAGGTATATTTTATATCTTACYTTAAGTAAAACTTTTAAATTTATTAAAGAAATAAAAATTTTATTATCTACTTCGCAAAAGAATGTTTCACTTGTGGTAGATTTATAGTCATAACTGACAAGTTGCAGCTATCATAGCTTTTCAGTCATTATGGACAATTCATCTTTGAGGAACTTATGGCCTTAGCATATATATGACTCAGAAAAAAGTATGAGAGTGAGCAGTATAGATATATAGTGAATCATGTCCGAATACCCATGTGTTAAAGAGAGATGTAACACACATACATACTTTAGTTAAGATCAGCTTGCACGAGGCCCTTAAAAAAACGATAGAAACTTTGTCCTGTGCGTTGCCAAAATTTTTACAGCTGTTCCTGTAGATATGCTAACAGGGCATAATTTGGTATATACATATTATCAATTCATATGTGTATATACATATTATCAATTCATATGTGTATATATGTACATATATAATTAGTATAAATATGTATTTCTATTTTTGCTAACATTCGTATCTAATGCTTAATAGACTAAAATGCCGGGAATGTATCAAGATCTATCCCCGGTCAATTGACGCACAGTTGTGTGTCTCAACTATTTGCCGAAAGGTGTACATAGTAAATGTGCCATTAGTAGTTTTGTTTAGTTCGAGAGAGAACAACAGGTTTGGCAGTCAGGTGACTGTGTACAACAGAACTTAGAATTTTTAAATATTTTTTGTGAACTGAATAACAAGCAAAAATATCTACATACATACATATGTGTGCCACATACATATTCATTTAGAGTTCTATTTACTTGCTTGTAGATTAGAAATTGTTATACGAAATCGAAATTGTTAGATTTTAAGGTTAATTACGTGGCGCAAACGCGAAATGTTTTTGTGGCGAGCACCTATTGTAAATATGTTCATATGTATGCATGCTTTTTTGCTGATGACGCTTTTACGAAATTGCTAACTATTCATACTAGAAAATCAGGCTACACAAGCTAAATGTGGACTGCTGCCATCGCGACATCTCATTAGAAAACAAATGAAAAACAAGTAAGGAAGGCTAAGTTCGGGTGTCACCGAACATTTTATACTCTCGCATGATAAAGTGATAATCGAGATTTCCGGCGTGGTTGTGAACCGATTTCACCCATATTTGGTACATGTCATCAGGGCGTTAAGAAAATATTTTATACCGAATTTCATTGAAATCGATCGAGTACTTCCTGAGATATGGTTTTTGGTCCATAATTGGGCGACGCCACGCCCATTTTCAATTTWWAAAAAAAGCCAGAATGCAGCTTCCTTCTGACATTTCTTCCGTAAAATTTAGTGTTTCTGACGTTTTTTGTTAGTCGGTTAACGAAGTTTTAGTGATTTTCAACATACCCTTTATATGGGAGGTGGGCGTGGTTATTATCCGATTTCTTCCATTTTTGAACTGTATATGAAAATTCCTAAAAGAAACGACTCTATACAGTTTGGTTGACATAGCTATAGTAGTTTTCGAGATATGTACAAAAAAGTTAGTAGGGGGCGGGGCCACGCCCACTTTTCCAAAAAAATTACRTCCAAATATGCCCCTCCCTAATGCGATCCTTTGTGCCAAATTTCATTTTAATATCTTTATTTATGGCTTAGTTATGACTCTTTATAGGTTTTCGGTTTCCGCCATTTTGTGGGCGTGGCAGTGGGCCGAGTTTCATCACGATGTCTCAATTTTTACTCAAGTTACAGCTTGCACGGACGGACGGACAGACGTCTACTCGTCACCCTGATCACTTTGGTATATATAACCCTATATCTGACTCTTTTAGTTTTAGGACTTACAAACCACCGTTATGTGAACAAAGCTATAATACTCTCTTTAGCAACTTTGTTGCGAGAGTATAAAAAACACCTTGATAACATACTGAAGTCTCGTGTCTTGAGTGATACCGGTTAGAAATTTAKAAGTAGTTCAATAAAAAACTTTTATTTCTTTTCTAGCAGAGTAGATATAAACGATTTATATATACAGTTRTCCACAAAAAAATAGGAAAGACCACATTAACAGAAATGTTTTTTATTTCAAAATTTTTGCACAATGTAATTTGYTAAAGATCTATTAACATTTCCAGATTTCACCTATTTCAATTAAACATAAAAAAAATTGTATATCGCAGCTTATATCAAGTAAACTAAAAAACTAGTTCAACAAAAAAAWAGGAGTCTGAGATTCTGGCAACGTTTAATTGGTATTCCTTTCCAAATCTCTTTCACTACTTACCATAAATCTCTCGAATTGGTTTTTTTCTATTCAGCTACTTTCTTCTTGATATTTGTCCATAGGTTTTCAATGGGGTTGAGGTCAGTAGACTGAGCAGGTCACCACATAACCTCAACTCCGTCGGCCCTAAACCATTTTTTGCGCACTTGCTAGTATATAGATAGATAGATAGATAAATAAATGAGGAATGCACTGCGACCTTAGGTCTATTGTGCCCTCTCCTAACTCACAGGGACTCACTTAGCCCCAGCATATTGCTAGTATATTTATGGTCATTATCCGATTGATATACCCATATCAATGGCATATTCCATTAGGAATGTGTCAACATTACACATTTTTTATATTGGCACTCCTATTATTTTGTGGACAACTGTATGTAAATATGTATGCATAATATGTTAACGTTACCGTTTGCAAATGTTTAGGAMATTTTACAAATGCTTAAAAATAATTASATTTGTTCGGAGATTGTAGCGTTGTATTTTAAAATAATCTATCCCAAATTTCGTGAAGATATTTTGACAAATAAAAACTTTTCCCTACAAGAACGTTTGTTTGGTAGTTAAATGCTACATATAATGCTCTGATAAGTGAATTTTATTGGAAAGGAAAGAAGTGAGCAAAATTTCAGATCGATTTCTCAAAAACTGGGAGACTAGGACTAGTTTATACAGATAGACAGGAGGACATGGCTAAATCGACTCATCTCG